TTTTTGTATATTAAATTCATCGTTTACTATAAAAGTTTAATCACTTCACGTGAATTATGCTCCAATCTCAAATTCAGTCACAATAATAGCCACTCATCTGATCCTTTTTTTTTTGTTTTTTTGTTCACGCTAGTAGAAAATTCTGGGTATTTTGTAAAATTAAATGTGTGCGTGATCGCGCCTAATCACTGACTTTTTAAGAACTATCCCACTGAAATCAAACAGCATTTTCAGACCGAAATCAAAAAACGCGGTTCAGGAATGGAGAAAAAAATTGGTTCACGCGTGCAATTAGCGTCGTACCACATTGTAAGAGAAGATTCATGGTTTTTGTTTCCCTGTAATGGAAGCTACGGAGGTAAGGTTTATTGCTTTTTTTTTGAACTTCATTAAAATTTATGTTTGATTTACGGATAGAAAGCGATGCTTATTTTAGTCATTACGAATGAATTCTAGTTTAGGTAAGATTTATCGCTCATTGTTTCATATGAACATATTTTCAGCATGAAAAACGGCTCTGTAGGTAATTTACGCTCAGTGATAAGAGCGTAACAAGATGTGGCAGGCAGACAAGAAGAAGCAGGGCTGCCGGCGTCTCAGAAGTTGCATTCAAGATGAGGAAGCGGCTCGGGCTCTTTACCTCGTGATGGGAGTAGCCTGAGCGAGCTAGAAAACGAGATGCCGGCTTCGTCGGTCTAAACTGACGGCGAAGCGAAACCGGAGGGTGTTCGAGAACTTTCAATGTATGTATTTTTGTTTGACACTACTAGTAGAGGTTGATATTCTTTTTGTAGTGCTCTTGTGAATGAAAAAAAAAATCAATTTCCAGTACGTTTTTGGATAATTAATTTGTGTTTCATTGCAGAAGAACGTGAATCGTCACCGTCTGGCTTCCAAATTTTGAAAGGCTGTGCTCCGTCGGCACTGGCAACCTCTTGGATTTGAAAAGCAGAATGTCATGAAGGAGGTTTGGAAGTGCCGACATTCAACGCTCCGAAGGTTCTATGGAGGAAATAGGGTTCTTATAATATTATACGCTTTCCCATACCGATTCGCCATGTTTGAGTGATGTATGGGTATAGGATGCCACATCAGTAAGATAAAATGTGGCAATTAATGGTTTCGCTAGTCCTCCAAGCTTCAAGGAGTTCTTCTGGATAAGTTGATGGACAGTGGAACTCCTGAAGCCACTGACATGATATGGAGCTTGCGGAGCAGCAGCAGTAGATGGTGTTGAGTGTAAAGCATGAATGGATGCCTCTCCCTATACCAGAAATCGTTTGAGGAATGCAATGAAGACCCGATAATCCACATTGTGGAAAAATCGGGTG